TAGCCAGGTATGGCCCACCTTATGGTACCCCACACCAGTGAGTATGTTTGAAATGTGGGTTATTTTTCTAATAATATATTTGAACAATTTGTTGCTAAAGGTAGTGAATTCTGAAAGAGGGGCGCAAAGGTAAATTATTTAAAAGTGAATTTTCATCTTGAATTCATTTTCTGAAGGCGACCTAGATTGGGGGCTAGAGTCAAATGCGGGCCGATCATTACGAAAATTGGAAGTATCATTTAAACTTATATAAAACTAGGATTTGCCGATTTTTGTAGAGATTCGACAACATTTAACATAATTATAAGCTCAAAAGCCATATACCGGGGGTACGATACGGCTTTTAATATCAAAAGAAGATGATTTGGGGTAACTCAAATTTCTGACCAATATCTTTGTAAATAAGCGTTTTGCGAAGAAGAGAAGCTCGATCTGTGATCACTTGTATTTCCGATCAAAAAAATCATAAAATACTTAATACTTCTGTAATAAACCTTAAAAAGAGAAGAGAAGATCTATCTGTGATAACTCAGATTTCTGGCAAAAGATGGATTTTTATGAAAAAAAAAACAAACTAGCTGAACCTGAGCCACATTACCGGCCCTAATATTGGTCTATATTTTTTCCATTGTAAAGATAAGTGATTTAGCTTTACTAGTTTTCGGATTAGCGATTTGACTGAATATTATAACTTTGACGCCATCATCGGACAAACTTGAATCTTTACAGGATCACTTCAGTCGATCTCTAGAATACATATTTGAAATATTGTTCCATAGTTCCTGAGTTTATAGCATATAGGGTTTATAGGTTATAGGGTTTTATTCAAATTAGTTCTTGACCGATAGAGCTGAAAATTTGTGTCTGACCTACTATCCAATAGTACTAATCTTGTTGCAAATTACATCAAAATCGATTTTTTGAGTTGGGTCAGTTGACATGAAATTGCCCATATGTAGATAACTAGATCTAAAAAAACATAAATAAATTGTTGAGTATATGTGCTCGAGTTGTGATCCCTCAAATTTCTGCCCAAAAATCTACTTTTGTGAAAAATTAATTCGGAAGCTATAGATTGCAACGAGAAAACAACAATAAACTGTAAACGCTCAAAATTTTCAATAAAAATCGATCTTTAAAATCTCGTTTTTTCGATAAACTGTAAAAATAAATAAGAAGATTGATCTGTAATAGCTCAGATTTCTGATCAGAGATAATAATTTTATAAAAAAAAATAACAAGTTAGAGCACTATACTAGGCTATTCCGAATCATTAATACCCAAAAAACTTAACTAAATAAATTTCAGAAATGTTAAAGTTTTCATTTGAATTTTGTACCAATATTCTAGAAGAAATTATTAACAATTAATAAATTTTTCGGATATATGCAATTTTGTATTGGAGCTAAATAAAATTTTTGAGCCGATTCTCATCAATTTCTGAAATAACTAATCAGGAATAAGAAAATACGTAATATTTTCATGGGTTGTTTGTGAATTGCTCATAATATCTGGACCCAATTTGCTAATTTTAAATAGGGAACTTTTCGAAAGTATGTGTGATAGAATTACTGAAGATTTGAAACACAAACATATCTGTGTCTTCAAAAAATTTATTTCAATAAACATACAGACAGGCGGACATAGCTGAATCGACTCAGATATATGTATATAATAAGCTTTCAATTGAATAAAGTAGTTACATTTTTGATCATAATCCTAATTAGTATTTTATCGAAAACTATAAAACGTAAAAGAAACTTAATTTTATGTCAAAAAGAAATTAAAATTTTTTATAAATGAAAACTAAAAATTAAATTTTCTTTTGGATTTCAAAATTTAAGTCGTAAAAATAAAATTCCCAGATTACAAAATGGCTCCTTGCAATAAAATGGGTTTAAGCGTGAGAAAATTGTGTAAGTTCAACAAAAAATCAAATTTAACGGTTACTAGCATTAACAATACATGTGGCATCTTTGCGTTGCTTAAGATAATTTAAGCTGGCAATGCCTATAAGCGAAAACAGCTGTAACTTTGTTTTCTTTTTGTTGTAAATTTTTTGTTTTTTTACTGTTGCAATAGCATAAAATATTTAATTGAGAAAATAATACATGTAAACTTATTAATTTCATTTAAAATTAATTAATTTTTGTTATTAGTAAAAATGCATCATCAGCCCCGTAAAGTTGAGGTAACAATAAGAAGTTTTTATATCTTCAATACGACTTATGGTCAAAAAGAGGGACAGGTAACTTATTGCCAACAAAACGCCCTTTAATCTTGGTAATATTAATCATTTGACTATATTTTAAGGAAAAAGAAAAAATCTTGTATTATTATCCCAAAGAAATTGATATAAATGCTAAAATACGTGATGTAGGCTTGAGTCAAGCCTTTACAGCATTTACAGAGTAAGTTTCCAAATAATAATATGAAGCTGTGGTCAGTATTAGTTTTTAAAACTTGTCTATTATTATCCTTTTATTTAAGCTCATTTACTGAAAAACCTGGTGAATGTGAAGTTATTCATACCGAGAAGACTACCCAGTTGTTATATCAACCCGAGCCCAACTTTTGGCTGGTTTTAGTTTTAAATGTTCCCAAGGAAATACATTCGAAAGATGGTGTAGAGTATCCTGAATATCATAAATATGAACTGCATGATGCCCTCTACAGACGCCTGCTAATACAAAGCTATAATCGCTTTTGCTTGGAAGACGGCACATTCCAAATGATCTTGGATCAATTTTTCGATAACAAAGAAACGGCTCGTGATTTTCTAACGCAAAAATTGGAGAATTTTTTCAACAAGGTAACTTTTGTTGCTATTTGCAATCACTCAATACTGACTTTGTATCTACAAAGTTACTTATTTAATGATTTTTATAATAATTCTAATTCCAGTACATTACCTCACTAAAATTGCCAGCCAATGATATAATTGAATTTATGAATTCTTTACAATATTTGCCTCTGGATAAATTTTTATTCTTAAGGGTGCACAATTTCATAGATTCTTTAAAGTCCACTTTTCCCTCTATAACGGATGCAATATTTCTCTACAAAGAATTTGTAGTAGTGTAAGTTAAAACTCTGTGTAACAATGTCAAAATTCCCATTAATCGCCTATTTCTCACTTCCCACAGTGGCGGAAAACTTAACTCTTCCAATTTATTTACCCTCTATCAGTATATATTTCAAAGTATTGAAATAACTCAACGAGATCCCTTGTCCAATGCTCCACTAAATAGCCGCAATATTTTTCTAAAAACAAATGGACAATTAGTTTCCTACAAAATGGTTTTGTTTCCCTCGACAAATGCTTTGTTGTGCCTGTTCTTTAAGCAAACGGTTGAATTAACCTCTCAACTTTTGGACGAATTAAGCTATGCCATCAACTCACAACTGTACGTTTTGGCCAGAGATATTGAGGACTATTTGGCCAAGCAACCCAATACTGGAAAAACTTCCGCAACCTCTACAATGGATTGTACCAATAATGCTGAGTACATGTCACCGAAATATCTATTTCTAAACGATCAAAGTCTTAAACTAAGCAGTAATTTATATGAAGATGATCCCCAACATAAAACTCCCTTACCACAGAATGTTACCAATCTTATAGCGGATTTATTTAACTCTTCAGACAACGAAGTTGAAAAGCCTCAAAGGGATGGTGATAAAACTAGCTACTCCGAGATTATGATCAAGTCTACCGATGATTTTTGGATTGTTAAACGGCGTTTCAATTGGCGCCAACGCTTTGTGGTGATATTTAGTCAAAAGGCTACTCTACTGGACGTAACAAAAGAAGCAGAACGCATTTTTGAACAAGAAATTAAAGATGGTGTATTCGCTGACAAATAAACAATATAATTAAATAAATAAACGGTGTTTTCCAACTAAAACGTCTAGTACGATCCTTGGAAGGGTTGCAAGCACTGTCCGTGGGACTGCGCTGTCGAAAGCTATGGGCGCAGAAAGCGCAACAGACAGCGCTTGAGGATTCTCAAGTTAACGCTGCCGTTGTACCCAATGTGACATCCGACTCCACGAATACACTATTATTTGTTATGCCATTCCCGTTAACATTAGGGCCGGCTAAAACGCCTCCTCCAACAACTCCTCTAACAGCAGCTGCTGAACCATTACGCAGTTTCACAATATAGATGCGTCTATTAGACATACAGATGTTGTAGCTGTGGTCTTCGTACACAATGGAAATACGTTCACAGCTGCTGTTTGGCATAAAGTTTTCGTCGACACTAAAGAAAAAATCAGATTTGTTATCAGGAAAACAAACATGGGTGTGTGTCTTTTGTCAAACCTTTCAGTTAGATTTATAAAATCTAAAAAAATATTGGCACTTCTTTCATCATTTTGTAATTCTCCTCCAGATTCCAGAACAGCTCCATCTTCCTTCATTACTAAATAACCAATTTGATTAGCTAATTTATCCATGTTTTTTAAATGATTTCCCAAATTTATCCTTCCGACACAAAATCAAAACAAAGACACTTTTTTCATTGATGAAAAAAAAAACAAACTAAAACTAAGTTGCCAGACTGTACTGAACTTTTAGAGCTGTCAAAATTTTCAGCTGCTAGATTCTAATCAGATTTCGTTAAAATCGTTAAATCTCGGATATAATAAATTATTCACTTTTATTTTTATAGCAAATTTAGTGAAGAGAAAAAAAATTAAGTAAATTTAAGTTCATTTAATCTACTACAAATTTAATAGTTGAAAAAAAAATTTAAATTCGTAAAGTTATCGTTAAATAAAAAAATTTGTCAAGGGCGGCTTTAATGATAGACCAAAAATTCGATTTGAAATTTATATATTGCATACTAAGATGATCTTTGCTATTTATTAAAATTGTGATGAATCAATTGAGTACGCATATTGCAGAAAACTTGCTTAATTGAAAACAAATTAATTTTATATTGTAAAATTCCATAAATTTATCGAAAGTGATCTGTAAATTATACAAAATATGGCGACATTTTTAAGCCGTAGCTGAAAAATTTTTGGCGGCGGTGGTTTTGACGTTTTGTTCGGCGGCTAGGCGTAGTCGGCTTAAAGCCAAATCGGCGCGGGTCTCTGGTCACCATTTTGTATTTTGCTCTTGATACGGTCGGACGTGAAAAAATAAAGTTTTACAAGTTGGCTAAATATCTTAATACAAGAAAAAAGAAAATCTGATTAATAATATAACAAATTAAAAAGAAATATTTAAAGTGTAAGTGTTAATCAATTGAATCAAATAAAATTTAATAAAAACAAAATTATTAAAACTAAACCTTAAGAGAATGTGAAAAAATCAATAAGAAAAATTGATACCACGCCACACCCTTAATTAAATTGAATCTTATGTTAAATTTGCCTTTTTTATTTAATTGCTGTTGAAGAAAACTTGAAAATTTGAAAATATTTAAAGAAATGTTCAAGTAAAATAAGAAATCCTTCAAGGAAAAATTCTGTATTTATGGAAAAAATCGAATGAAATATTCAGAAGAAAGTTTTTTTTTTTCTTCGCCTGGTATAATTTGTAAGTGTGTGTGTGTGAGTGAGAAAAACGACGTCATCCGTTCGTGGAGTATATTGATTTGAATAGAGAAGAAGAAGGTGTTGTGCTCATTTTAGTTTCTATATTATTTATCTCTTTCTGTCCTCCTTCCACTTGTGACTTCTTTTTTAATTAGTGCTTTATTCCAACTTCTATTTACTTTTATCTTCTTAAATTGTTTTGGTTTTTTTTTCTGGGTAGTGTAATGAAGAAAGTATTTGGTAGATACATATGTATGTATGTATCTACCAAATACTATTTGTTTTCTTTAAAGATTTGTCTAAATTCAATTGTATTTATTGTTGTTGTACAATTTGTTTACTAACTCATTGTAGTCTATTTTTAGCAGAAAATATTCAAACCAGAAATGAGTGAAGAATTTCGAATATATTGACATTTAACAAGCAAAAGATAGACCGGTGTTCTCACCATCTACCAACGTACACTATACACGAAGAGTGCATTAATAATATGAACTTTCTTTTGAAAGAAAATTGATTTTTTTGTATTTATATGTATATTGTTGGTTTCAACCTAATTTTTCCAAACATTATACATTCTATAGTGCTTATGATTCAATACTTTTGCTTAGTTCGTGTTTTGCAACAATTTTTCTTCTTCCCCCTTTTTAAATTTTTTTTTTTATGTGAGAGTCAGTTTTTTTCAACTCTTGTTTTGAAATCATCTTCTTCTGGCTGACACACTCATTTGCTGGTTGTTATTATTAGTGTGTGTTTGTATGTTTTGAATTTTTTATTTACTTTTTATGTTCAATATTCTCCATGTTTAAAGAATTACGTCATTTTGCTATTTTGATAAGTATTTTTTATTAAAACCATACACTGGAATTGGGGTAGTGGAGAGAAAGAGTGTGTAATTCATCATTGAATGTATTACTTAATACATTTGAGTTGTTACTGTATTTAAAATTTTTGTTCAATTGTTTTTTACTTAATTGAATTAATTAATTCCAGACACAACTTCGAATGATATTTATTTAATTTTAGGTTTTTGTGAATAATTTCTCATTTTTGGGCAGATATTTTTTTGAAACTTCCCCTTTGTCTAATTTTTCCGGACATTTGTAACAACTTTAAATTAGCTGTAAGAAATTAAGTACATAGGTACTGCTCGAAAGTATAAAAAGTTTAGGGGACTAGTTCCAGTTCACTTTTAGTTCAGTTACAGTTTGTTACTAGTTCAGTTCTAGTTGAATTCTAGTGCAGTTTTAGTTCAGTTCTACTTGTAGTTTTAGTTCATTTCTAGTTCAGTTTAGTACTAGTTCAGTTCTAGATCTAGATCTGACTTAGTTCAGTTCTAGTTTAATTCTAGTCCGGGTTTAGTTCATTTCTAGTTCAGTTTCAGTGTAGTTCTAATTCAGTTCTAGATCAGATTTATTTCATTTGTACTTTTAGTTCAGTACTAATTCAGTTCTAGTTTAATTCTAGTTCAGTTTTAGTTGAGTCCTAGCTCAGTTCTTATTTAGTTCAACTTTAGTTCTAGTTCAGTTTTTATATTACATGCTTGAAAAAGGTATTAATAACTTGAGATGTTTGAACAATATAAAAAAATCCGTTTTAGTAATTTATGTAGTTTTGCTGATGCAACTGCATTTAGTTTGAGGCGTATAAATATAATTCTGTATAATATACCTATCTGAATTGTATAAATTAAAGCTTCTTTATTTAATGTAATATAATACATATTTAAATACATTACATACATAAATATTAAGTAAAATATAATATTATTTTGCTACATACATATCAGTTTTAAACATAAATACAATCTATAACAAAATATAATTATTATACAATGCTAAAAATAATCTTCCTACTAAAACCAAATCTATCTAAAGTAGTTTAATGTTTCTCGTAAAACAAAGTATTTAATGTATTTGAAAACCCAAGTTGTTGTCACAATGTGCCTAAAGAAAACCAATAAAAACTAAATTAAAAATCTACACAGCTCGAGTAGCTACTATTTGCCAAACCAACCATTCTCTTTTATCATCTTCCGTTTCAGATACCTAACGGTCTAACGGTAGTTGAAAAGGAGTAATGCAAGTTGGATGAAACTATAAACTAAAGTAAAAATCTACTAGAATTAGAAAAACGGCCACAACCATGACTAATCTTCCAGAAGAAAAGCTTAAGAGCCTGATAAAATGCGAAATCAATTTGAAAACTAAAGAATTTCGTAAATGGTTTTTAAAACAATTTGAAGTTGAAGCTGCTAACAACAATTTTTGTACTATAGAAGAGTTTGCTGTTTATTTTCTAAATACACTACGACAATATACCGAGATACATTTGAAGACTACGAGTGGCACTGAAACACCAAAATGTCAAACTCCTGTAAGAGCCATAAAATCGAATGTTTGCAAAGAAGACTCAAACACACCCAGACGTTTGTTAATGGATCTAACACACCAAAATACATCTACACCCAATGACAATCTAAGTTTAAAAAATGGTCATTTGAAGAATAATTCTTGCATCGAATTTGATTCACACTCAACACCGAGACTTAGCACATCAGTTGATCGCTTGGGTTTTTCACACAATAACTCGACTTCAACACCGGTTAGACGTAATGTATCGAAGAATTCACTCAGATTGTCGACTACACCAAGTTCGGCTAATAAAAGTACTACTTCTAGTTTGTGCTTGGGTGACTTTTTGGTCATGAATACGTCCACCAACAATCGTTCTCACAAGAAGAAATCCACACCCACAGCAAATCAACAGACCGCCCAAAAATCGCAAGCAGAAAAGCCCAAAAAACGTTTGCAACCCATTAGTATAAGTAAAAAGGTGGAAACATGCCCCACTTCGTCCATATTTGCCGGAGAGAGTTCTTTCAGCAATGAAAATAATATACTTAAAATATCTAACAACGAATTGGAGGATAAGGAACAATGTGCCATATTGGCAGCACGTAAATCTTTGGTATTAAATTCCAGCGAAATATGCAAAGAAATAAATGTCTCCATGCCTTTAATGCCGCTGTCTAGCGAAACAATGGCCACTAGTACACCTGCCAAAGAAATGTTGGAGGAGGATATTCCACTAGATCTAAAGAAAATGGAAAAGAATTTTGCACTCAAACGACTGGCAGAAATGTATGCCTTAATTATTGATTTAAATTTGTGCACGAATATTTTGAATGAATTGTCTTTTCTTTTGAATCTATTAAATGCCACTAATACAAATAATCTTGTAACTGAGGCCTGCGATCAAATGGAACAGTTACATTTACAGGAAAATCAAACGAATGAAGAAGGTCTCGCTTGTCTAGAGCATTTATCAAATGCAATTTATTTTGCTTTATTGTGTCTGAACCGCCAAAAACTTGCCTTAGGATCTTTAGATGCAAAATCTCTGGGGGTAGTCGTGATTAGTGAACGTTTTTCTTATTTAGACGATGATGTCAAATCTTACTTATTGGAGGTCTATCAACGTAAACTGCAATTAGTGACGGATAAACCATTTTGTGACACCTCCTTATGTTTCGATTCGAAACCTTGCAACAATGTATACTTTCAGCAAGAACAAGATTCAAGAGATAATTTCACTTCCCACAATGAATTTACCAATTTTCGGGCTCAAAGAGATTTGTTTTATAAATGTTTAAAAATTTGGGAATCCAATCATCTAAATCCCATGTGGAAATTTTCCTCAGACATCACACCCAAAATAAGGGAAATATTTCAACTTTCTGAAAATTGCATTAATATGGCTCATTTAGCAAAGCTGTTTGTTTCACAACTACTAATATCCGCTTCGAATGCTACATCACCCGAGGAAATTGGTTTGGATGTGGATTTGCAAAAATTCTCGAAACTAACTCAACGTTTAATAGCACCCAGTCAGTTTAGTGTGGATTATCAGTTTCCACGTACTGAAGCCTTTTTTCGGGATTTTATTCTAGAAGCACGATCTCTTGCATTTTTGGAACAACTAAAAATAGAACTTTATACAGAGTTAACTACGCTAAACGACTCTTCATTGGATCAAATCGATATAAGTAAAGCAGAAAATGATGCGGAGGAAAAGGATTTGTCTTTAATTGACTGTGTTCCAAGTGATATTATTGTAGTAAGACCAGATATTTTAAATTCCATGTTAATTTTGGCTAAATTTCTTGGTTACACCATATCCTTGCCTTACAATCTCAGCAGCAGCAATACAATGCCTTCACAAGTTGAAAAGAATCAAGTGCGTCTGCGTTCGTTAATGCAACCCACTTTCGATTTGTCAGGTCTACTTGAACAAGCCATTGAACAGGGCAAATTGTTGATAGCCATTCCCTGGTTGGTCCAATATTTCGGCATGTTGGATAATGTCACCTTACAATTGGAAAACTATATGAAAACTTTAAAACTAATGTACGCTTTGTATACTTATTTGGGCTTGGAGAAACCCAAACCATTCAACAACTCTTCACTGTTTATTATAAAACTCTGCTTAGGCTGGTTGTTCGAAACTAAACAATTTATTGCGGAACAATATTACAACTATAGAGCCGTACTTAAAGGAAAAAATGCTTTCGATTCCACGAATGAGTTGGAATTTATTAAAACTAAATTACGACAACACAACGATCCTGAACATCTTGCCCTAAATCCATATCTAGAATCCCTTTTACCCATTGCTTGTCCATTCTTGGCTGAATTTAGAGTATCCATAATGCCAGCGAAATATGCTCAAACTAAAAATGCTTCAAGAACTGGACGTTATCGTCACATAACCACAAGAATTGCAGAACTACCCAGTACCGCAGAGGTTAAAGAAGATGGAGCAAACAATTTAAATGATAAACAAAATAAACCCTCCCAAGTACAAAAATCTTTAATACAAGCATTTCTCCATTCTCAAAATTCATCCACCCGACAAATTATAAAGTTTTGCACCGAACGATGTTACAAAAGCGTGGTAAAGGATGGTCAGCATAAAATACTATTGCCCGCTAAAGCGAATGCAGACAATTTGGTCAATGAAATAACTTCATTTAATTATCATTTGGTGTTTAACAGTATTAAAACCATATACAACGATGCCTATACACAAGTTAAAAAAGAGTGGAATGAGTCCATACCTAAAATGTTGCATAAACGCATTAATAATGCCTTAGACAGCCTCTTGTCAGAGGAAACTTCAACTGTTTTAAAGCGAACCTATTTTATGATCATTGATAGTGAAGCCAAAATTAAAATATCTCAATGGTTCGAGGCGAATATTATCAGAGAGAATTTCTTTTGTGCCAATCTTCAAGAAATGGCCAACAAAATCTGTAGTGCTAATAAAAATAAAGTTCAAGTGGGTTCTACCCAACTAATCATCATCAAAGAGACACCAAGTGTATCTGATTTAATAGATGAATTACAATACTGGTTACACTGTACCTCTGTAAGAGTGGATCGTTTCAAAGATGCTAAACCACTAATTAAACTTTTCACAAATATGACAAAGGCCTTTGAAAATGAATTACCTTCATTTTTGTATCATTTACTAGGTGCAGGTATAATACAACTATTACAACATATAATAGCTAAACACTACACACAACTAACTGATCCACTAATAGAAGCTGCTTGTGAAGTCTGGTTGCATCCTAATATGCAAAAAGCTTTAGACAGTTTCTCCTCTTCGGGCATTTGTATTTATGATGCTTTAATTACCATTGCATTTATAGAATCTCTGGGCACTAGAAAATATTGTTTTAATAAATTAGGTCACTTGGTGGTGTTGATGATTAAAAAACAGGTCATTAGCGTAAATTATGCCAATGAGCTGTTTGTCTCAATTTTTAAACATGAGTGGCATCCCTTAGTCTTATCAGAAATTTCTAATATGTTGAAGACTATTGCAAGTGAGACCGCCGGAGTGCCACAGAAAGCTCGTGATAATGAAGAGGATAATGACGATGATGAAGACAACGAAAAATCTAATTTATTTATGGATATGTTAGCCGATTTATCGCGTGATGTTGATTTCTTTTAAAGTTACAACTTTTTTTTTAATAATTATTGTTGTATGTTTTTTTAATTTTTTCTTCTTAATTTTAATAAAGATTTATTATAGTGTTAATGAATTTTAAATTTAAATGATTCGTGTTTTAATAAAGAAATTTTTGGAATTGTTTTAGGGAGGTTATAGTGTTTGTATAATATTTTCTGAATCAAGTTTATGTACGAGTTATGTTGGATTATTCAGTTTCCAGAAAAAAGAATAAAAAGGAAATCTATGTTTAACTGAATATTTTTGGCGAAAACAATTTTCTAATAAAATATAATTGAATTCTTTTATCAATATTATAATTATTTTCAACTATTGCATATAGCAAATGCTTGATACACAACTTTGACTATGCATTAACTGTTTCGACCCGGCAGAATTTTAGTTTGTTCTGGTACATACATATGTATGTATGTATGTACGTATACCTATGGACAGCCTGCTAACCTAGGACTGGTCTTTAGTTATAGATTTATTCTTTGTAAATTGATAGATTTTAAGTTCTAGATGCAAAAGTGAAGAGTTAAGAATCCTAAAGAACTTTCGTTCTATGAGAAATTCGTAAATTCATTGCTTTACATGTACTTATTCTGTGCTTCCATGCAGTAAATTTTATTCCTTTTAATGAAGTATTTTTGTAAAATGTTAAAACAAGCTCTTAAATCACAAGGTATATTTTTAATATTTAAAAATAAACAAATATTTTAAGTTCTAAAAAATTGCCTGTTTTAACGAAATTCTACTTTTAGAATAAAATATGACTCATAAAACACACATGACGTCATGACCACAATATTAAACCTCATAAATTCTATGACATTTACATACAAAACAAAATTTATTATATAAATTTCAAATATACCATAAAAACGATACTGAAAATTGTAATCGTGAAAATTGTCATTGAATTTAGTAACAACGAGAACATGTTCGTAATATTATTTATCAATTTTAAACATAGTTGCGAATTGATAAGAATTTTTTTTAACTGGCTGATATTCAGTTCAGTTATCAAGTGTTTATTTTTTAACAGGGTTTTTTATTAATCAAAAGAATTTGAGTATGTCATGTATTCATTTAGATTGCCCCTTTTCTACCTTCTTTTTCCCCTAAACAATATGACAACATAAAAATTAAAAAAAAAAAAATAATAAAATTTGTTCATTCTTTATTTTCACTCTGAATGAGTGGGGTAGAGTCTTTAATTAGGGTGCGGTAAGATACAAGCAACACTAAACAAAAATTGTGTTTATTTTAGACTAGAAGAAACAATTTAAAACCCCTCTCTTGCTCACACACTCACATAATATATATATAATTCTCTTGAGGTCATTCGTGCTCAATTGTTTTAGACTCTTGGGGAACTTGTAGTGGAAATTATGTAATCACTGGCTTAAAAAACAGTATATCACACATTCTTTACCAGCTCCATAAACACTAATGTTGTCGCCGTCGTTATAATAATCAAGACGGCAAACGGTATTACTTCATTCGCACTAATTGGATTTCATTGTCGCTCTGATTTAATATTTTAATAAAATATTTTATTTGTTTGTTTCTTTTTTGCAGGTTTAAAGCGAAAACGAACGTAAAAAGCGATAAAAGTAACAGTATTAAAAACGAGAGCAATTTCAGGTAAGTGATAAACCTCTTTGACTTCTGCAATCTATTGCTTATTTGTTTAATTTTATTTGCAGACAAAACGATATAAATTTACATTTAAACGGATATTTACAAATAACGAACGACCATGGAGAATTTTACTCCTAAAGAGGTTAAAATCCTCGAAACTGTTGAAGATATTCAGGAAAGACGTGAACAGGTCTTGTCCCGTTACAATGAATTCAAAATTGAAACACGTCAAAAGCGTGAGAAACTCGAAGACTCACGTCGTTTCCAGTACTTTAAGCGTGATGCTGATGAATTGGAATCATGGATTAATGAGAAACTACAGGCAGCTAGCGAAGAATCGTATCGCGATCCCACAAATCTCCAGGCTAAAATCCAAAAGCATCAAGCTTTTGAAGCAGAGGTCTCAGCCCACAGCAATGCTATTGTTTCCTTGGATAACACCGGCCAGGAAATGATTAATCAAAATCATTTTGCCTCCGAGACCATACGCCGTCGTCTCGATGAATTGCATCGTTTGTGGGAATTGTTGTTGAGCCGTTTGGCCGAGAAGGGTCAAAAATTGCAACAGGCTTTGGTTCTAGTGCAATTCTTGCGTCAATGTGAAGAAGTTATGTTCTGGATTAAGGACAAAGAGGCTTTCGTTACAGCCGATGAGTTTGGTCAAGATTTGGAACATGTTGAAGTATTGCAACGCAAATTCGATGAATTCCAAAAGGATATGGCTTCCCAAGAATACCGCGTAACTGAAGTCAATCAATTGGCCGACAAGTTGATTCAGGATGCTCACCCTGATCGCGATACCATTACCAAACGCAAAGATGATTTGAATGAGGCTTGGCAACGTTTGAAACAACTTGCCATTGTGCGCCAAGAGAAACTCTTTGGTGCTCATGAAATTCAACGCTTCAACCGCGATGCTGACGAGACTGTTGCCTGGATTGCCGAAAAGGATGTTGTTCTTTCTTCGGACGATTACGGCCGTGATTTGGCCAGCGTTCAGGCCTTGCAACGTAAACACGAAGGTGTTGAACGTGATTTGGCAGCTTTGGAAGATAAAGTTTCCACTTTGGGAGCTGAAGCTCAACGTTTGTGCTCCATTCATGCTGACCACAGTGATCAAATTCGCGATAAGCAAGCTGAAATTGCCAACTACTGGCAGAGTTTGAAAGCTAAGGCTGGAGAACGTAAACAGAAATTAGATGAATCCTATTTCTTGCACCGTTTCTTGGCCGATTTCCGTGATTTGGTTTCCTGGATTAATGGCATGAAGGCCATTATCTCTGCCGATGAATTAGCTAAAGATGTGGCTGGAGCCGAGGCTCTATTGGAGCGCCACCAAGAACACAAAGGCGAAATTGATGCTCGTGAAGACAGTTTCAAATTGACCACTGAATCTGGCCAAAAACTTTTGGAGCGTGAGCACTATGCTGCTGCCGAAATTCAAGAAAAATTGGCTGCTTTAGAAAATGACAAGAGCTCGTTGCTTTCCTTGTGGGAAGATAGACGCATCTTGTACGAGCAATGTATGGACTTGCAATTGTTCTACCGTGATACCGAACAGGCTGATACCTGGATGGCCAAACAGGAAGCTTTCTTGGCTAATGAAGATTTAGGTGATTCCTTGGATTCGGTTGAGGCTCTCATCAAGAAACATGAAGATTTTGAAAAGAGTTTGGCTGCTCAAGAGGAAAAGATCAAAGCTCTTGACATTTTCGCCACCAAGCTCATCGATGGCCAACACTATGCTGCCGATGATGTCGCTCAACGTCGTCAAATGCTTTTGGCTCGTCGTGCTGCCTTGTTGGAAAAATCCAACAGACGCCGTCAATTGTTGGAAGACTCCAATCGTTATCAACAATTCGAACGCGATTGTGATGAAACCAAGGGCTGGGTCAGTGAAAAATTGAAGTTTGCTACCGATGACAGCTACTTGGATCCCACCAACTTGAATGGAAAAATGCAAAAGCATCAAAACTTTGAACATGAACTCAATGCCAACAAATCTCGCATTGAAGACATCACCACTGTGGGTACTGAACTCATCGAAAAGGATCACTATGCTGCTGACCAAATCAACACACGCATGCAAGAAATTGTTGTTCTATGGGAAACTTTGGTTCAAGCTTCCGATAAGAAGGGCTGCAAGTTACATGAAGCTTGCCAACAACAACAATTCAATCGCACCATTGAAGACATTGAATTGTGGTTGAGTGAAATTGAGGGTCAACTTTTGTCGGAAGATCATGGCAAAGATTTGACTTCCGTGCAGAACTTGCAAAAGAAACATGCTCTTTTGGAAGCCGATGTTATGGCTCATCAAGATCGTATTGAAAGCATTAAGGTAGCTGCCAACAAATTCATTGAATCTGGCCATTTCGATGCCGATAACATTCGTCAAAAAGAGGCTAATTTATCTTCCCGTTATGCTGCTTTAGCCGCTCCTATGGCTGAACGCAAACAGCACTTGATGGACTCTTTGCAAGTTCAACAATTGTTCCGTGACTTGGAAGATGAAGCTGCCTGGATTCGTGAAAAAGAACCTATTGCTGCTTCCACCAACCGTGGTAGAGACTTAATTGGTGTACAGAATCTTATTAAGAAACACCAAGCTGTCTTGGCTGAAATTAACAACCACGAAGCTCGTCTTTTGAATGTCATCAGCTCTGGTGAAAATATGTTGAAGGATCAACCTTTTGCCAGTGAAGATATTCGTCAACGTTTGGATGCTTTGCAAGATCAATGGAACAACTTGAGAGAAAAATCCAACCAACGTAAACAAGACTTGGAAGATTCTCTACAAGCTCATCAATACTTCGCCGATGCAAATGAGGCTGAATCCTGGATGCGTGAAAAGGAACCTATTGCCACTGGTAATGATTATGGAAAAGATGAAGATTCCTCTGAAGCTCTTTTAAAGAAACACGAAGCTTTGGTTTCCGATTTGGAAGCTTTCGGAAACACTATCCAAGGTTTGCAAGAACAAGCCAAGAACTGTCGTCAACAGGAAACTCCAGTTGTTGATATTACTGGCAAGGAATGTGTTGTAGCTTTGTACGACTACACAGAAAAGAGTCCTCGTGAGGTTTCCATGAAGAAAGGTGATGTTTTGACTCTTTTGAATTCCAACAACAAGGACTGGTGGAAGGTAGAGGTTAATGATCGTCAAGGTTTTGTACCAGCTGCTTATATTAAGAAAATTGAAGCTGGACTCAGCGCTAGTCAACAGAACTTGGTGGACAATCACTCGATTGCTAAACGCCAAGCTCAAATCAACTCTCAATATGACAATTTGCTAACATTGGCCCGTGAACGTCAAAATAAGTTAAACGAAACTGTTAAGGCTTATGTCTTGGTACGTGAAGCAGCCGATTTGGCTAACTGGATCAAGGACAAGGAGAACCATGCCCAAATTGCTGATGTTGTAGGCGAAGATTTAGAAGAAGTAGAAGTATTGCAAAAGAAATTCGATGATTTCAACGACGACTTGAAGGCCAATGAAGTGCGTTTGGCCAACATGAATGAGATTGCCATACAATTGACTTCTTTGGGTCAAACTGAAGCTGCCATGAAGATTCAAACTCAAATGCAAGACTTGAACGAAAAATGGAACAATTTGCAAACTTTGACTGCTGAAAAGGCCAGTCAATTGGGATCAGCCCATGAAGTACAACGTTTCCACCGTGACATCGATGAGACTAAGGATTGGATTGCCGAAAAGGAGAATGCTCTTAACAATGATGATTTGGGCAAAGATTTGCGCAGTGTACAAACTTTACAACGTAAACACGAGGGTGTCGAACGTGATTTGGCTGCTTTGCGCGATAAGATTCGCCAATTGGATGAAACTGCTAATCGCTTGATGCAATCTCACCCTGATACTGCCGAACAAACTTATGCTAAACAAAAGGAAATCAATGAAATGTGGGATTTGATTATTACCAAGTCTACCGCTCGTAAAGAAAAGCTCTTGGACTCTTATGACTTGCAACGTTTCCTTAGCGATTATCGCGATCTTTTGGCCTGGATCAATTCCATGATGAGTTTGGTCACCTCCGATGAATTAGCCAATGATGTTACTGGAGCCGAAGCTCTTATCGAAAGACATCAGGTAGGTTATTGTTTTCAAATTGCCACTTAGCTCTTTAAAGCTTTTGTAAAAAGCAGCTTAAATCTGAAATGAAAACGCCTTTACAGGTGTCTTTGTTTAGGCTAAACTATTAAGTGAATATATTAAGCTTTACATAAATCTCTTACGATTTTTTACAATCATTGATTTTAAATAAATTGTATTTTTGTTTTGTTTGTCGCTTTTGAAACAACGTGGGTGACGTGTGCGATATGATTTACCATTTTCCGGAAAATCTGGAATTTGTTTTCAACAAACAATACCACAACACAAACACACACACGCTCCAATTCAAATTATTTGTTTAAACTCTGTCATTCATTCAATCAAACGACATTCATCATGCATTCTTTGGAATCTTTGTAATTGTATAAAACATTTTGGAGTTTTTTTTACACTCATGCATAAAAAATTTACGTTTTTTTATTATATTTTTTACAAAATTCATGCGTCTGTGTGTGTTTTATAGGCTCATCGTTCTGAAATCGAATATATGTATGGAAATAGTAGCGCCAAAAGCTTCTTCCATCCAACACCAAAAGAGGTAGTTTTTCACCATCCATCATCAAAGTTTCTAATTTTACTTTTTTACTTTTTCTAATTTTTGTTGTACAAAATTTCAATGTTAATTTCTTTTTCGAATTCGTTTTAAATGAAAGAGTAAATTCCTAAAACTGTTTGTTACGCACTACTACTACCATTTGCAAAATAAGTTAAACCAAACCTAATCAAATGGCTATTGTTGTATTTATAGTTTAATTGTGTTGATTTTTTTATTATTTTCCTAATTCAGTTGTCTAAAACTAATGCCAGCAATTCATACGTATATTCATGCCAATCAATCAACATTTTAATCATACATTCATTATCAACACTACCGCTACACTTCATTTTTTGTATTTATGTGTAAAAGTATTCAGTCATTTCATAGCAAATCGTACAAAAGCAGCAAACATACATTATATACATACATACCACCACCCACCCACCAATACCTATAAATATGTATATTCTTTTTGCATATCTACCCAAAATTTGTTTCTAAATGACTTAGTTCTCTGCTATTTTAGTTTGATTCGAGTAGATATTTGAAGGATCTAATTGAATTCTAAATTCCTATGGATATATTATTCCTATTTTACACAATCTATTAAATCCCTTTCCAACACAGAATGTCTAATGACTTTCTTGTGTTTTTTAAAACTTTAATCCTTGACTTTTTGTTAACAAAATTTTCTGTATATTCTTCCTAAAACTAACAAACAAAATTGTATATATTTGTGATATCTAAAAAATAAAGTTCTTTTATTTTGTTTAACTTTTGAAAAAGCTAAAGTGTCCTTTTTAAAATTAACCCATTTTTTACCTACTTTGAAGCTTTAAACTTGTAATTATAGTTTCCTAAGCTTCCCCAAACCCTGTTTTGTAAAATGTTCAAGTAAATGCCAGTTTTTTTTCATAGTAATTAAATATCTATTGAATATATAAACTAAATCTGAACTTCACAGGAAAAAAAGTTCAAAAAAGTATCTCTACAATCTTTTGTCACATTTTTCTTAAATGGAGAAGTTATTAAAAAAATAATTTTATAAAAATAAATACAAAGTTAAAGGTAAATACTTTTGAAATTGCAGTAACAACTTTTAGTTCTGGCTTTCGAATCACTGAATACAGACAGAATCACTTCAAATTGCTAGATTGCGATTAAAAGCCATTTTATCTTTAAAGAAAGAGCATTATTCGGTTAGGCCGAATTTTATATACTCTTCACTCTGTCAATTCCACTTGTTAATAAATGTAAATTTTGTAAAATAATCACTTTTTTTTATAAATTAGAGAAAAAATTGTCTGTTCCAAAAACATATATCAGCTTATATAAGGGTTTCGAAAAAAATTCTATTAAAATTTTAGCTTCCTGTTGAAGGTCCAAAACTAAGAGTATCTTGATCAAGGTGAAGTGTATATTAAGTCTAACACGTTTTAAGAGCAAATCACTACCTAGTCTTACCAATTCATTTAAAATTTCGTGGTATGAAATGGGTTAAATTGCACAAAAAAGAAATCATTGAAAATGGTTCAGTTCATAGGGACATAATGAAGAAAATTTAAAAATCATAAATCGGTGGATACATTTATTTTCATTGCCAATCATAATAAAAAAAATAAATCGTATAGCTTCAAATGCAGTTTAATTTTAATGGTTTTAATACAATGTCTCAACAGAGTTTCTAAAGAATTGTTTACTATTCCATTCTACTTCCTAATTGGACATGCTCTGCTTTAAGATTTTAAAATTATAAATTTTTGAATAATATTCTTTAGAACTCTTCTGACATCTCTAGTTTTACATCTTAACTGGGCATATTTTTAATAAAATTTTTATCTAACACCACAAGTGGTTTATTAAACAAAAACAAAAAAAATCAAGAACAAACTCAATGTGAATTACTTTTCTTATCTGAATATTGTCTATAACCAACGCTATGTTTGTATCCATTTATTATATGTTGTCTAACATTTGGGTTGTAACAAAGAGAAACAGTTAAACATTTAAAATTAATTATTTGTATTTGGAATTAACATTTCTATTCTCAATTTCCCCCCATCCAATTCCGTCGTTACGCTCCTTTAGGAACATCGTACTGAAATTGATGCTCGTGCTGGTACTTTTGGTGCCTTTGAGCAATTTGGCAACGAATTGTTGCAAGCCAATCATTATGCTTCGCCTGAAATCAAGGAAAAAATCGAAGATTTGGCCAAGACCCGCGAAGAATTGGAGAAGGCCTGGACCGAACGTCGTTTGCAATTGGAGCAAAATCTCGATTTGCAATTGTACATGCGTGATTGTGAATTGGCCGAAGCTTGGATGTCAGCTCGTGAAGCCTTCCTTAATGCCGATGATGTCGATGATAAGGGCGACAATGTAGAAGCTTTGATTAAGAAACATGAAGATTTCGACAAGGCCATCAATGGTCATGAAGAAAAGATTGCCGCTTTGCAAGTTCTCGCTGATACGTTGATCAATCAAAATCATTATGCATCTGATTTGATTGATGATAAGCGTAAACAAGTCTTGGAACGCTGGCGTCACTTGAAGGAGGGTCTCATTGAGAAACGTTCCCGTTTGGGTGACGAACAAACCCTACAGCAATTCTCACGCGATGCTGATGAGATTGAAAACTGGATTGCAGAGAAATTGCAATTGGCCACCGAGGAAAGCTACAAAGACCCAGCCAACATCCAGTCCAAACATCAGAAACATCAAGCATTCGAAGCTGAATTGGCTGCCAATGCCGATCGTATTCAAAGTGTTTTGGCCATGGGTGAAAATCTGATTGATAAGAAGCAATGTTCTGGTTCTGAAGACGCCGTCCAGAAACGTCTCACCCAAATCGCCGATCAATGGGAATATCTCACCCACAAGACCACTGAGAAATCGTTGAAACTGAAGGAGGCCAACAAGCAGCGCACCTACATTGCTGCCGTTAAAGATTTGGACTTTTGGTTGGGTGAAGTTGAGTCTCTACTCACCACCGAAGACTCTGGCAAAGATTTGGCTTCGGTGCAAAATCTCATGAAGAAACATCAATTGGTTGAAGCTGACATTGTTGCCCATGAAGATCGCATTAAGGACATGAACAAACAGGCCGATTCGTTGGTTGAAAGTGGCCAATTTGATAGTGCTGGCATCCAAGAGAAACGCCAAAGCATCAATGAACGATACGAACGCATTTGCAATTTGGCTGCTCATCGTCAAGCTAGACTTAACGAAGCTTTGACTTTGCATCAATTCTTCCGTGACATTGCCGACGAAGAGAGCTGGATTAAGGAGAAGAAATTGTTGGTCGGTTCCGATGACTATGGCCGTGATTTGACTGGTGTTCAAAACCTCAAGAAGAAACATAAGCGTCTCGAAGCTGAATTGGCTTCCCATGAACCCGCCATCCAAGCTGTACAAGAAGCTGGCGAAAAACTTATGGATGTCTCAAACTTGGGAGTGCCAGAAATTGAACAACGTCTCAAGGCTCTCAACCAGGCTTGGGCTGAATTAAAGAACTTGGCTGCTACACGTGGTCAAAAATTGGATGAATCCCTTACTTATCAACAGTTCTTGGCTCAAGTCGAAGAGGAGGAAGCCTGGATTACCGAAAAACAACAATTGTTGTCGGTCGACGATTATGGCGATTCTATGGCTGCTGTTCAAGGTCTCTTGAAGAAACACGATGCCTTTGAAACTGACTTCGCCGCCCACAAGGATCGTTGTGCCTTGATCTGTGAACAAGGTACTGAATTGGTTGAGGCCAAGAATCATCATGGCGACTCCATTAGTCAGAGATGCCAACAATTACGCAACAAATTGGACAATTTGAATGCTTTGGCTGCCAGACGCAAGGGTTCTTTGTTGGACAACTCCGCTTACTTGCAATTCATGTGGAAGGCTGATGTTGTTGAGTCCTGGATAGCGGATAAGGAGAACTATGTACGCTCCGATGAATATGGACGTGATCTTTCGACAGTTCAAACTTTATTGACCAAACAAGAGACATTTGATGCTGGTAAGTTTTGTTGTTGTGGTTATAAATAGATTTTGTTGTAATGTTGTTTGCTTTTAGGTCTTAATGCTTTCGAACAAGAGGGTATCCATAATATCACCACTTTGAAGGATCAACTTATCAATGCAAACCATGCCCAATCACCAGCCATACTTAAGCGTCATGAAGATGTCATCTCACGCTGGCAGAAATTGCGTGATGCCTCTGAGACACGCAAACAACGTCTCTTGGCCATGCAGGAACAATTCCGCCAAATCGAAGAACTCTACTTGACATTCGCCAAGAAGGCTTCAGCCTTTAATTCTTGGTTCGAAAATGCCGAAGAAGATCTTACCGATCCTGTTCGTTGCAATTCGATCGAAGAAATTCGCGCCCTACGCGATGCCCACGCCCAATTCCAAGCTTCGTTGTCATCGGCTGAAGCTGACTTCAAGGCCTTGTCCGCTTTAGATCAGAAAATTAAGAGCTTCAATGTTGGACCCAATCCCTACACTTGGTTCACCATGGAAGCTCTTGAGGAAACTTGGCGTAACTTGCAAAAGATCATAGAGGAACGAGATGGCGAATTGGCCAAGGAAGCCAAACGTCAAGAGGAGAATGATAAATTGCGCAAAGAATTCGCTAAGCATGCCAATCTGTTCCATCAGTGGCTAACCGAAACTAGGTAAGTTATTAGAAAATATTTATTAATGATTTTAATTCTACACGTTTTCATGGAAGAAAGTACACTTATGGTTATAAAGGATCTTGGGCTAAATTTTTATTTATATTTTTTTCTTTTCAAACTTATTTGCACTTGGCACTTTATATTAAATTTATTTTACACAAATTTTTAATTTTTCTAGGTTTTATATGCTGGGTTATAATGGTCAAGGGTAATGATTTATTTATCTTTTTTTTTTAATTCTACGATTACGAAAAATCTCGTCTTTTTAAATGTGTGTTGTCTGTATATTTTTCTTTAACTAAAGTTAACCAAGCAACTTAAAATTGCTCAACTAACTGTGTGTGTTGTTTTAAACGAATATCTTTTTGTATATAAATATTTTCGAGAAAAACTACGGTTTACTGTAAATTTGCAAAAAAAAAAAATATACAAATAAGTGTTTGTATATAACTGATTTTCACAAATTCTAACGGTTTACTGTAAATTATGAAAAAAAGCTAAATGCCGCCATTTGCTTAATTGTAAAAATATGAATTACTTATAACACAATTGAAGGGGTTTGTTAAGGAGTTAGAAATTAAAAATGAAAACTCAACGATGCCCTTTCAGCCTAACCCAACTATTTACAAACTACGAGCGCTGTATTATATATAAAAAATGCTTTATTTTATTTATTATTTTTATTTATTTATGCATGCAAAATTTAAAACAAATTATAAACAAATTTCTGAATTTAAATTTATTTAGACTAGCCCGGTAAACTATTACGCAGAAGTTTTATTTTTAGTTTAGTTTCTATATATTTTTCGAACTTTCAGGAAATACATTTATTTTAGAAAACTGTTTAGCAATAAGCTTTTAAGCCTTAAAAAATTTTTCGGAAGAAAAGAAAACAATTAGTTATAAGTAAATTTCGTCCAATTTAAACTATGATTGCAATTTCCATGATAATGATAAGTTAAACAGATGATATTTTAATTCATAACCACTTAAGATTACTAAAGAAGCCATGGTAGTGGGTCCATACAATTTTTTTTGTAATTTAGATTGTGTTGTTTTTGTTTCAAGAATAAATTTACAAATATTCAAGATTTCATTTCTTTTAATATTCGAAACCCTATTAGAGAAAGAAATTCTAAATTTTAATAGAAATATCACTAAAATCTTTTTAAGCATAAGCATTGTTTCATATGAGATCATTACAGAAATCGGTTCACAATAGAGCGCTATAATATTAGCAATTGAATCCTTAACATAATTTTATATATTTTTATTTCAAATTTCAGTTTTAATTCAAAGTTTTTTTTAGAATACAAACTTTTTAAATAGTATATAGAATATACTCGATAATTCCGATTTATACATACAATATTTAACCAGCACAATTAACCACAATAAAACTTTTATAAACTGCTTCTTTTTTTAAACACGAACAACATTTATTTAACATAATTTATTAATAACCCTTCTTTTTCCTATATGTAGAACATCTATGATGGAAGGTTCCGGTTCTTTGGAACAACAACTGGAAGCACTTCGCGTCAAAGCCACAGAAGTACGAGCACGTCGTGTTGATCTTAAGAAAATTGAAGAACTTGGCGCTTTATTAGAGGAACATTTGATTTTGGACAATCGTTATACGGAACATTCTACAGTCGGTTTGGCACAACAATGGGATCAATTGGATCAGCTGTCAATGAGAATGCAACATAATTTGGAACAACAGATACAGGCACGTAATCATTCGGGCGTATCCGAAGATTCCCTCAAAGAATTCTCCATGATGTTCAAACATTTCGACAAGGATAAGAGTGGTAAACTCAATCAACAAGAATTCAAATCCTGCTTACGTGCTCTTGGCTACGATCTGCCCATGGTGGAAGAAGGTCAACCTGATCCAGAATTTGAAGCTATTTTGGATGTGGTCGACCCCAATCGCGATGGTTATGTTTCCCTGCAAGAATATATTGCCTTCATGATTTCCAAAGAAACCGAGAATGTGCAATCCTACGAAGAAATCGAAAATGCTTTCCGCGCCATTACTGCCTCCGATCGTCCCTATGTTACCAAGGAAGAATTATATTGCGTAAGTATATTAAAAGTCTTATAACAATAACAGCCTATAACCTTTTATTTTCCTTTTCTTTAACAGAATCTTACCAAGGACATGGCCGACTATTGTGTGCAGCGAATGAAACCTTACGTGGAACCCCGCTCTGGACAACCCATTAAAGATGCTCTAGATTACGTTGAGTTTACACGAACTCTTTTCCAGAATTAAATTATGCTTTTATATATTTTATATTTATCTTATAATTTCAATCTTAAAAAAACCCACTACAAATCAGAAAATATATATGCTTATATTTAATTTATGCTCTTAAAAAAACGCCAACACTTTTCAATTAATACAATGCAGAAAAGCGAGAAAGAAAATATTTATGAAAACCCAAAACACTGTCTCTCTACACGGAAGGAGACTGCAGACATTATACAATGCAATATCCCTAGTAATAGATTTTCAAAAGTTATTTATTGTTTTTCGTTTTATTTTTCCTCTCTCTACTTATTAAGCACCCTTCATAATGCATTTAATCACAACAAGAAAAAACCAAAAAAAAAGTAAAATGTTTTCACCCTACATTTTCCCCGTAGCCTTGATGTTGTTTATTGCATGTTGTAGCTAAACAAGCAAGATAAAATGAAAACTAAAATTGATGATAACTAAACTTCTTTAATGTTTTTCCAAATTTTTTATAACTGATTATTATAATCCATAGCAATTTGTCCTTATATAGTTATTCGACAATATATCAAATCTTAAAGATGTATATGTATTGAATTCAAATAAATTATATTAAAAATTAATTAAAGAACTGGTGTTTTCTATTAAAACTTTCAATCTGTTATGGATATCGTTTATTTCATATCTCCTGTAGTATTTTTCATATTTTTTGATCACTTTTTATGATCTATTTTATTTTTAAACCTCTGGTTACTATTTTATTGAGAAATTTACCGAGGTGTTCCAATTGGATACATAATTACAACACCGCTTGGTACATCACAACAAACTGGAAAACTTTTACTCAGAAACACGAAGTTTTTTTAAAATCAGACAGTTTAAAAATTACAAATAAAGTTAAGTTCTCTTTTTCTAAAAATCTATCTCTTTAATTTAACGGTTCCTTACAGACTTGGCAGCACTTTTTATATGTTTATTTCATAAAGTAACAGTCTGGCAGCTCAATAACAATTTGACACTGCTGTTTTTTTGACATTTCAATTGTTTCTTGCGTGGCTGATTGACGATTGGAATGCATATTTATTATTTTGTTAAATAAAATAAATCCGAATATAGAAAGTGAAAACTAAACAATTTTTAATAAAACATGGATCAAACACAGAAAAGGGAACGAAATGGTGAACCCATTAAATTGGGTGAATTGAATATGACACCAATATTGGTGGCCATGATTGTGGGCTTTATAGCCGTGGGTAAGCTTAAACAGAGAATGTGTGGAATCATGTTTATTTAATTTGTAATATTTTTGTATTATATTTTAGCTTTATTCGTTATCTTCCGTAAAAGATCATCAGCCCGTAGAGATTTCCTATTAACTGGCATAAGTGAGGCCGGCAAAAGTTCTATATTTATGCGTATTTTACACGACAAATTTCCAGAAACTTTCACTTCCATTAAGGAAAATGTGGAAGACTATAAATTAGGAGCACGTTTAGTAGATATTCCCGGCCATTATAGGGTGAGGGAGAAGTGTTTCGAACAATATAAGAAAACTGCCAAGGGCATTGTATTTGTTTTGGACTCGGTAACCATACAGAAAGATATACGTGATGTGGCAGAGTAAGTTAATATAATGAAATTTCAACTAAACGTTATATTAAAGCAAAAATCAATTATTTCAGTGCTCTTTATATAATGCTCACCGATTCGGCCACTTTACCCTGTAAATTTGCAGTATTGTGCAATAAGCAAGACTTAGCTACCGCCAAGAGTGTACAAGTTATTAAGACTTCGTTGGAAAAAGAAATGTAAGGTTTTTTAACAACAATTTGGGGGCTTATACTGATATTAATTGTATATTCCAGGAACATTATACGTGATACACGCAGCCGTAAATTACAATCTGTCGGTGATGATGATGCCAACAAACCCATCTATTTGGGTAAACAAGGCAAAGACTTTGAATGGTCACATTTACAGCAAAATATTCAATTTTATGAAGGTTCTGCTAAAGATGGCGAACTTAGCAATCTCACCGACTGGATGGAAAAAGTGTTGTAGATTAAGATAAATCCATTGATTTAAATCCATAAGCAGCATTTTTCCTATTTAGCAAGCAACGTTCATTAAAAATAATTCATTTGAATTTTACCAGGGAAGCTAATTGTGTTTATAATTTTTTATGTTTTTCATTTTCTGTTTTGGATTAGTATTTAATGTTAAAATGTTCAGTTATTCCTTATTAATATTTAATTAACTTTTTTAGTTAAACAATAAATTTAAGATTTTTTTTTTATAAAAAAGTTGAACTACGAAAAAAAGTTGTTTATATTTTAAAGACTTTAAAATGGTTGCTTTACTTATTGTTCTGAGAGAAAAAGATCTGTTCGATTGGATCGAAAAAGTTCTTATTTGAATATACAATTCCTCATGGAATTAATGGTAAAAGGATTGTAATTGTAAATATATAAAGTAAGACTCTTCTTTACACTTTGGAAACTGTTTAATATCAAATTTTCTTAAATGCAACTTGTTTGATATGTTTACAACTCAAGAAATGTGTTTCTTTTCAAAACGTATTATATAGGATACTTTAGGCTATATATGTCTTTCCTTCTTTCCAGCACTTCAAATATTACAAACAAATAGTTACATATTGTACTTACGTTTAAATTTTTCAAGTAAATTTTTACCACTTTTTTGATAGCCATCAACTTCAGCCGGAGAAAGCTTGAGTTTAAATTTGTAGGGAAAGTACTATGGGATGCGCTCCATAATATGTTTATGTAGATTCATGATATAACCTTTGTTATTGTTATATTATGGTGTACTATATTACTAGTATTAAAATTCTTGAAGTAAAATTTGTACACTTCTTTGACTGGCAACAGCTTCTGCCAGTGCAGAATATCACAACATATTTTTTATTAAATTTTCATTAAAAATAATAACATTTATTTTTCTTTATTGCTAAAAACACTATTGAAATCATTTTCGTATCTAAATCATACTAAACAACTAAAAATCCAAAAATTTACTAAAAAAAAACAAATATTTTTCTTAAACTTATTAATCAAACTCAAATGTAAACAAAAGTGATGCCAAGTTTGACAAAGCAGTACTCAACGGAAATAGTATTATCAACTAAGCGTTTTTCTTAGTGAAACAATTAAATATTTTTCATTATTACTATGATATTTTTATTAACGTTCCCTTTTTAAATACTACATTCCTTTTAAAATCATAAAATTCAGATTACTATTAAGTTTCAATCACATCTGCATTACTATCTAACAATGAAAAATCACCCGTTTGTTTGTTTTGTTTCTGCAGCTACTGATTGACAGCACTGTTTGAGATGTAAACATAGTGTAATTTGCAGTTTATTAAATTCGTTTGTATGAAATTGATTCGTGTTAATAAAATAAAGTTTTTAACGTTAAAAATTCAACAATTTGAAAGTAATTTTGTGCTGAAATAAACTTAAATATGTGGAGAATATGATGAAAGTGTTAGTTTGCGCGAATAAATGTTATTTTGTATAAAAATCCAATTGGAAAATTTTTTGCAAGTAAAATGCAATTCCCGCCATATTTTTGTGTCTCATATGAGACAAGTGTGAGACTACAAAAACAAAAGAGCTTTTTTTTGTATGTCAGTTTTTTTTTTGCCGGCATGTCTGTGTGATTTAGTGTTGTGTTAGTGGGAATAATATTTTGTTTGTTTATGATGTTGTTGTAGGCAAGGGAATATTATTGCTCATACGTACTGTGTGGAGTAAAACTAAAAACGTGCCTTTACGTTACTTTGCATTACGTTTGAGTAAATGTGTTTTTTATTACCTAGTGCCATGCAAGTAAATGCATTTAATGTAAATATCAAATTTAATTGATTTAAAAATAAAATAATTAAGTAATTAAAAAATGCAATAAAAATATGTATGTTTACATACATACATATGTATATTTAAAGTAAATACAGTAAATAACAAATTCTAAAGTGGATCATTAGTAATAACTCTGTTTACACTTCTCATGACTTATTCATGTGTCAAAGTTTGGAAAATTGGAAATACTGCGTGTTAAAGATAACTTCCGGAAAGAACTTTTTAAATATTTCAAAATAAGGTAAGTTGTTTTCATTTTTATTTATTTTTAATACACACACACTCAAAAAGTTCAATTCATTTATTTAATTTAATTTTGAATTTATTTGTATCCAAAATAAATAGCCTATTGGCCATAATCGGTTACTCTACTCTATAGTACGAAAAGTGCCAATTGGCGCCTTTTTACAAGTTATATTAACCGTTTATTTTATGGCGTTGCCATGTAGCAAGTTAGAAAATAATTACAGATTTTAAATTAGTATAGGGTTTATCTACTAGTATGAAAGAAAAAATAGTTTTTCTATAAAAAAACATATACATATATTCTGGATCCTTATACAGACAGTGGAGTCGATTAAGCCATGTCTGTCCGTCTGTGTGTCTGTTGAATTAAATTTTCTGATGGCCCCAGATATCTTCGGAATACAAATTTTCAATAATTCTGTCAGACACACTTTCAAGAAGTTAATATCTGTGAACACAATTTTGCATCAAAAATCTATTTTTATATGAAAAACATAAAATCGCCTTAAAAAAACCGTTCCAATTAAGAAAAATCTGTTATCACTTAAATTTTCGTCAAAATTAAAACTTTAGAAATCCTTAAATCGGCTGTATTTCTTTAAATAATGAGATAATAATGGAAATTGTGATTACTTTCCATCAGAAATTTACATATTTTTATAAAAAACCCTGAATGCACTTCAGATCTTAAATAACACTCTAATTGAGAAAAACAGCTTTCACTTTAATTTCCTATATAAAATATATTTTTATCTAAGAAAAATAAAATTGGTTTTATATCCTTAAATAACGCTCCAATTGAACAAATTATGAAAATCAATGATGACATCAACAGCATCAATTGTCTGTGAAATGTGAAATACATTCCCTTTATTTTCATAAAATAACTTCGTTATTACGAAAAGTGTTATGTTAACAACCGTAATATTGTAATAAAATTTCAACAGCAATTGATGAAAGGAAATCAAGTCCAGTAACAAAAAACTACATGCGCATGTTGTAAAAGAGCACACGAACCATTACACATACACTTCTGTAAAGGGAAAACCTATAAGAAACAAAGGATACAAATTGAAATTCATATTTTGGTAAAAATGAGAACAAATTGAAAATGATTACTGCCAACACCAAACACTTCACTAAATATTACTTTTAAAACATACAAAAAAACATATAAACATTCTTCAGTTAACAAAGGCAAGATGTTTTATTTGTATGTACTTGTTTTGGTTATTTTTGTTGTTGTTGTTTATAATGATAGTTTTTGTTTGCCACAAAAAGTGGGCTTTTTAACACTTCTTTTCAAGTGGC